TCAGGAATCCCAACCTCACTCACCTTGCCCTTACCCTTGTCAGCACTATGAGGTACATGAGAGGAAGATGAGGGGAGTTCCTTAGAGTCCACCTCGGTATCGACAGCCTCAACACTAGGGAAGTTGTCAATCTCATCACCTACATCCCCTAAATCAGAATCTCTCTCGGCAGACCTGTCACCTAGGAGGGAAATAGAGGAGGGAGTTGCTCCAGAGGAGGCAGGCATGATTGGCAAAGAGAAAGGCAAATCGAAAGAATTATAAAAAGAAGGAATACTAACTAAACACCCCCTGATAATCCTAGGGTCAGCACTGTACCAGTAAGAATTCACACAATGGATNTTTCTTTCATTTACTCGTCATCACAAATTCTCATCACGCTGAAATACACCATCATATATAAAATAAAGTACAATATAATTTAAATCTCAAAATATAAACAAAATAACTTTTGTTTTTTACAATTGAGATCTATTTAAATTTTACTTTAAAGTTAATCCAACGACTAATATTAACATCCCAAATTTAATTGAGAAAATAAGCCCCTAAGAATATGTTTGGGGTAATTTTTTAAAAGTGTTTCTAGAACTTATAATTTTTCATAAGTACTTTAAAAANACCTTGAGGTCGAGGGATCCAGAGTGAGGAAAGGTAACAGAAAGAGAAAGGGGCATAAGGAAGCGTACCTAGACAGGGAAAAAGAATAACAAACAGCAGCCAAAGAACAAAATTGGAGGAGAGGAACAAAACAGGACTTCGAGTCGAACCCATAAAGCATAGTCTAGAGCAGAGAATAAGGGAATCGCGTAGAGGAAAGCCCATAAATCACAGAGAGAAAGAGTCAGAGACGAAGGTGAACAGNCCATCATCATTACTACCACCACTACCGTCACCCCACCACCACAACTATCCCTACCACCACTACCACCATCACCACTACCGCTACCACTATCACTACCATCACTACTACCGCCACCGCCACTACCACTGCCACCTCTGCCATAATAGCTACCACCACCACCATCACTGTGGCCACCCCCACCACCATCATTACCACTACCACCACCCTCATTGCCCCACCACCACCAAAACTACCGCCGTCACCACCACATCTATCACAACAACCACCACTACCACTGTCGCCACTCCCCACAACCACCGCACCCATCTGCCCTACAACCCCCATCATTACCACTACCACCACCCCACCAGTGCCCCAAAACCACTATCCCCACTACCACCATTGTTGCCGCCACCTTATCACCATCGTCACTGTCCCATCATCACCCTCACCCCTAATATCCCACCACTACCATTACTGTCCCACCATCACCACCCCCACCCATGACTGTCACCATCACAACTATCAACGTCTCTCACTACCTCCACAACCACCGCTCGCCCCCCCTATTACAATCGGTGTTTAAATTTCTTTCTATCTCCTCTATCTTTGTAATTTGATATTGGCTGTGAGTACAAATATATTTATTTTTAACTTTTTTTTATTACTCCATGTCTTTAAGCACGGNCCACAACCACCGCTCGCCCCCCCTATTACAATCGGTGTTTAAATTTCTTTCTATCTCATTTATCTTTGTAATTTGATATTGGCTGTGAGTACAAATATATTTATTTTTAACTTTTTTTTATTACTCCATGTCTTTAAGCACGAGAAATGACTAGTACTTCTAAATATTATACCACAGTTCCAAATCTTCACACTTCTAAATATCCTATCACACATATTTTTCATATTTATGTTTTTTGGCTATTACCTTTTGTATGCATATTATTGATTTATTTATTTAATTTGATAACTAATTAAAGCAACATTGAACATTTTTAAAGTTTGAAAATTTTATTTATAATAAAAAAAAATCATTTGTGTATGTAAAGGTATAATGGTAAATTAGGTATATTTATCTTTTATTTTTCTTCCAACGCCAAATAATAGAAAATTAATTCCTCCAATTTTTCATCCATTGTACTAAACAAAAAAAAAAGTTTTTTTCCTCCAAAAATAAAAATTCTATTTGCCATATATTTTCATCCCTTCTATTAAATCAGTGTTATCAGAATCGGACCAGTTCAAGCGTGAACCGGGACCTTAAGCGGTCTGGTTCCCTAGTTGGACCTTATAAGGAAGAAAATCGGCTAAAAATCGAAAAATTGGCCGATTTTTGGCCAAAACCGTGAATCGGTTAATTTTTTAAAACCGGCGGTTCGAATTCCACTTCTTATATATATATATAAAAAAAATTCTATTTGTTTTGGGGCCATTTTGCCCTAAATCGTAGAATTGAGGGCCCGAGGCTGGGAAGGAGACCTCTTTGCTTCACAGTCAATTTTCCACTTCTGTTTTCAATGGCCATTCCGACGATGAACAACAACTAAGGGAGGCAACCAATCAGTGACTACTCCTCTTCCTCTGCTCGAAGCTCTATCTCTCTCACTTAGTCAGTCTGTCTGACTCAGGCAACGACGATTATGTTTTAATTTGTTGGTTTTCTTTTAGCTGCTGCAAGTATATCAATATGATTTTAACCAAAATTTACTTGGTTGTGGAACTTTGTGAATTTGGATTTTACTTTGCATATGCACTTGCCCTTGAATTGGAATTATGAGGTAAACCCAGAAACTTTCTTTTTAATTTGGAATGGTATTGCTCTCTTTTGAGGATTAGGAGTTTTGAAGAAAAAAAAAGGCGACGACCAATGGAACCTCTCTTTCTCACACACGCACACACAGTAGCTCTCTACTCTCTGAGTCCTCTAAAACTTTTGAATAGAATTTGGATCCCATTTCATTGTTATGTTTCTTAATTCGTTAGTAATTTCATGGGATATATTCAAGTCAATTTCACTGATTGAATGTAATTTCTTTCATGTTAGGTTGTTTACTGTACAATCTAAATTCTTTGAATTCGATGCATGTTTCCAGAAAGTGGGAGGGGGGTCTATGTTCCATGTTTGGTTATGTAGTATATAATATTGAAATTTGGTAAATGTGTGTAAATGGTGTTTAGGGGTTTTGGACATGTTTCATATTTTGTAGTTAAATTATTATTTTTTATAATATTTATATATTTTTTATAATATTTATATATTTTTTATAATTTTTAATTATATGACTGGTCTGACCAGTTGATCCAACGATTGAACCAGTGAATTATTGACCTGGTGCTCTTGCCAATTCGATAACTGATCCGGTTCTGATAACATTGTATTAAATTTAACATTAAGGAAAAATATGCTCCAGATACATTTAAAGTCAAAGTAGCGGGCACATGAGCAATTTAAGCAATCTCATTTTGTCGTTTTGTGGGAACAGAGTTAATTAATGATCTCACATTAAAAAACCGTTACATCTCGTACCCAGCTCCACTTTATACGGCGATATATTGACGAAACGCACACTAAGACACATTTAAAGACCCACGACAAAATAAACTAGCCGTTGGGACTCAAAATTCAAGACCCATCCAACGTCAGCGACACAACCATATAGCTTTCCTCTTTTCTTTTCGTCCTCTTTTTGTCTGTCACAACCTCACAAATCACAGCATTTCTCTCAAAACGCTCCTCTCTCTCTCGCTACAAGTCTCTGCTCTTTCTGTGGGTTTGTTAGATTTGATCTGAGAGCAAATTGGTCGGCTATGCTTTGAGGTTTCTGTAAGAGTTTCCTTTCCTTTTATGTACCATCTAAAGTTGTTTTGGTAAGTTTTCTTTGATTTCAAGTAGAATTTGGTGGTAATCCTGACCTGATTTTGTTCCACATGCATTTTATGGAAACTTCTAGTTGTACTAAATTTAATCTATTAACAAGCACACACATACGGATGCAGATTTGTCTTTGATAAATCAAAAACCATTTTGAGGTGGTGTTCTGCGGTAATTGCTCATTTCAGATTTTCCAAATACTGTGCAAGTGTTTTAGGGTTTCACATTTTGGGTTACACGCATGGGGGATGTAGTAATTGAAGTAAATTTGGTAAATCATATGGACTTTTCCCCGATTCGGAAATTTGAAACAGAACAGTAGAAGGGGATTTGTCAGTCGTACTTGGGGAAGAGTGAATAATCAAGCCATAGTTTTGGGTCAATTTTTAATTGTGTTGATCTTCCAAAAAGTGGGTCATTGCTTGGTCCAATAAAATGCTCGGGCATCAGGAGCGATGAAGTAGTGCAAATATGCACCAGGTTAAGTCTTAGTCCAGCTTATATCTCCTAGCTGCCTGCATAAGATGGGCTGCACTGGATAATAGCCTTTTCNCGATTCGGAAATTTGAAACAGAACAGTAGAAGGGGATTTGTCAGTCGTACTTGGGGATGAGTGAATAATCAAGCCATAGTTTTGGGTCAATTTTTAATTGTGTTGATCTTCCAAAAAGTGGGGCATTGCTTGGTCCAATAAAATGCTCGGGCATCAGGAGCGATGAAGTAGTGCAAATATGCACCAGGTTAAGTCTTAGTCCTGCTTATATCTCCTAGCTGCCTGCATAAGATGGGCTGCACTGGATAATAGCCTTTTTGGATGTGGTGATCTTCTTAAGTCCTCTGTGTGGATTTGCATAGAAGTCTGAAACAATAAATAGCAAACTTAGAAACCAAAATCGAATAATATGTTTTGGTCCAAAGGCGGAAGACCTCCTTTTGGTTCCTGAGACAGCTGCTGTAGAGAATAAGAAAATTAAGGACTATTTTTTTTTTTTTTCTGTTCTGCAAAAATGAAAGAAGTGATTTTCTCATTTTCATGCATTTCATTGTTGAAAGTTTGTGTGAATTTCAAATTTTCAGGTGGTCCATTTTAGTCACACATTAATTTATGGTTATGATTTATTCGACAGATACATTACCAGATTGGGCAACTATATTATTTATTAATTTATCTTCTGAGAATTTTATTCTTCTATCCTCTCCTGGGGAAGCTTGGACTGTACTCCACGGTGTTCCATCCAAGTCTAACTGCGAAGGAGACTTGTAGATCTATAATTTCTCAAAATGACGGTAAAAAATCCAAGTACACCAGCTTTAAAAATAGATAGGACTCCAGTATCCACCCCAGGTGGCCCCAGAGCTAAGGAAGAGAAGATTGTGGTAACAGTACGGTTAAGGCCTTTGAACAAAAGGGAGCAATCAGCCAAAGACCATGTTGCATGGGATTGCATTGATGATCACACAATTGTGTATAAACCACAGCCTCCCGAGCGTGCAGCTCAATCAGCTTCCTTCACCTTTGGTAACCAAATTACACCCATCTTTTTTTCTTGTTATCATTCAAATAATTTTGGGATTTATATTTTCTTAGATTATGTGAAAACTAACTGGCTATGTTTATTCTTCAGACAAAGTGTTTGGTCCAGCTAATTTAACTGAAACAGTATACGAGGAAGGAGTAAAGAATGTGGCGCTATCTGCTCTAATGGGCATAAATGGTACTCAATACACTAAATTTTATCTTCTGTGTTTGCTTGCCGATTGCATTTTTGAGGTCTATGGATTAGTATCCTCTCCAAGGCCTAGATTCCTTCAATTTTAAATGAACAACTGGGTGTTGGTGAGCAACCCGGTACCAATAGAAATGTCTCCCTTAGATTCATCGTAGGTGATCTAAAATTGAAAATGGAATCTAGATTTCTGGAAAGGATCTAAACCATGCATATAATAACAATTTCATGTCATTTCCCTTCCAGCAACAATATTTGCATATGGCCAAACTAGCAGTGGAAAAACTTACACAATGAGAGGAATCACGGAGAAAGCTGTCAATGATATTTATAAGCATATCATGAATGTAAGTATTATCAAATTATCTCTCTGTCTTTATATATATATATATATATATATATATTTGTTGTGACAGTTTCTGAAAAATTCATGACAAGCCATGATCAAGAAATTCCACCCTTTTTATGCAAACTCGCAATTGACTAAGTTCATTAATCTGAGGTTAGATGTTTTTTTTCTCACTAGCATCTAAGGTTTTGCTCATATATAGAGGAGACAAGAAATTGAATGCTTAGAGGTGGAATGTGTATTCTTTCTGCACACAGTAATTATTATCTTGAATGAGTGTCATTTCTAGTGATTCGGTGTGACATACGACATCTTTAACCCAAAATGGGTGGTCCATTTTCTTCCTTGTTTACATTTCTATCCCTGTAGTCGGTAATACAAAGTTGATGGGAACAAAAACAAGTTCTTCTCTTGCCTTCTTTTGCCTTTGCTTCTCCTCTATAACTCTTCAATTTTTTAAATAAACAAAACACTATGCATTGAAGGCCAAAAACACAAACAANTCCATTTTCTTCCTTGTTTACATTTCTATCCCTGTAGTCGGTAATACAAAGTTGATGGGAACAAAAACAAGTTCTTCTCTTGCCTTCTTTTGCCTTTGCTTCTCCTCTATAACTCTTCAATTTTTTAAATAAACAAAACACTATGCATCAACCTGGACAAGTAACATGTCCCCAAACTAATCCTATGCTGTTTTGTCATTTCTGCAGACTCCAGAAAGGGATTTTAGAATAAGAATATCTGGACTGGAAATCTATAATGAGAATGTTCGAGACCTATTGAATTCAGAGTCTGGTCGCAATCTCAAACTTTTAGATGATCCTGAGGTAAAATCTGTCTATTTTTATTTGATTAAGTGATGTTGCTTTTCTCTGGGCGTTCAAGTAGATTTGTAACTATAATCTATTTTCAGAAAGGAACTGTAGTTGAGAAGTTGGCAGAGGAAACAGCAAATGACGATCAACATCTACGACATTTGATCAGTATTTGTGAGGGTAAACATTTGAAATTTTCAGCATGAATTGGTTTATCTTTCAGTTTTGTATTGGGGTAGAGTGAATGTCATATATCAGCTTAATAAAGTTTCAATATGTTGTGCAGCTCAAAGGCAAGTGGGTGAAACTGCTTTGAATGATACTAGTTCACGGTCTCACCAAATAATAAGGCTGGTCAGTTAAATAGGTTCATATGTATTATGATGCTTGTAGATAAAAATGTAGCTAGAGATAACCAGCTAACTAGAATATTTTGCTGGCAATGCAGACAGTAGAAAGCACTCTTCGTGAAAATTCAGATTGCGTGAGGTCTTTTGTTGCTAGCCTGGTAAAAGGCTTGCCTTTCTATACTTTCCCAAATGGTTTGAGGAGCTATAGATTTATGCCCATAACTGTTGATGTTAATAAACATCCTCTGCAGAACTTTGTAGATCTTGCTGGAAGTGAAAGAGCCTCACAGACAAATGCAGATGGTGCTAGGCTTAGGGAAGGGTGTCATATCAATCTTAGTTTGATGACTCTTACAACTGTTATCAGGAAACTCAGGTCAGCATGATAAAGCTATCCATTTCAACTTTAGACAGTCAAATCTAATATAGATCTTCAACTAAAGTCTGTGGAATGATGCAACAAACATTATTCTTAAATATATAGTAGATAGATAGTTATTTTAATATTTTCATTATTCAAATCTCTTTGAAAGATGTTGAATTAAATTTGAAAGCACTCCCATTGTCAAAACAGTTGCAAAGGCTAATTTGAGGTTTTATTGACTGGGACCTATTTGATATTGTTCACCAACTCTTTGTGATTTGATGGTAGGCTGTATTTACAACAGGCATGTGTCAATTGATGCATATTGATTTTTTGTATCATTTTATATATTACTGGTCCTTTGTTTATGCGGATCATTGAAACTAGAACAATTTTAAGGAAGGTTTGCTAAGTTATCCATGGNTCCTTTGTTTATGCGGATCATTGAAACTAGAACAATTTTAAGGAAGGTTTGCTAAGTAATATTTTTACTTAGATCATGTTATATTTGGAGATCATGTTATATTTTTACCACAGCTCATTGCACTTGCTAATCGATGCCTTTCTTTATGTCTGATTCAGTGTTGGAAAAAGAAGTGGTCATATACCCTACCGAGACTCAAAGCTCACACGCATATTGCAACACTCACTTGGTGGAAATGCACGTACTGCCATCATATGTACCTTGAGTCCAGCATCAGCCCATGTTGAACAATCCCGCAATACTCTGTTCTTTGCAACTCGAGCAAAGGAAGTGACAAATAATGCTCAAGTGAACATGGTACTGTCATAGTTGCTCATCTTGTTCAAATAGTCTTAAAAGAAATTGTTAATTTTGCTAATTTAAACATGTTGATCAGGTTGTTTCAGACAAGCAGTTGGTTAAGCATTTGCAGAAGGAAGTAGCCAGACTGGAAGCAGAGCTACGCACCCCAGATCCATCAAATGAAAAGGACTTCAAAATTCGGCAGGTAGTTTGTCAGTTAGGATTGACATGATTTCTTTAGCTGAAATAGGATTGACTAACTGACAAGTATTTCTCCCATGATAAATCTAGATGGAGAGGGAAATGGAGGAACTGAGACGTCAAAGAGATCTTGCGCAATCCCAGGTGGATGAGTTACGTCAAAAACTTCAGTATGAACAACAGGTTGCTCTATTATCTCTCTCTCACACACATATATGTGTGTGTATATGTATATATCTATATATATCCACATAAGTATATATATATATATGTCTATAAGCCAAGTTTTTCTAAGAATCCATTGATTTTATCTACATCAGGGCTTGAAGCCATTTGAGTCACCTAATCCAGTTGTGAAGAAATGTCTGTCTTTTTCTGGCACCTTATCACCAAAACGGGATGGCAAGGAATCAAACCGTGGTGATAGAACAAGAAATACGATGGGAAGGCAGACCATGAGACAATCGTCAACCGCTCCTTTCACACTCATGCATGAAATTAGGAAGCTTGAACACCTCCAGGAGCAGCTGGGAGAAGAAGCAAATCGAGCACTGGAAGTACTACAGAAAGAGGTCGCTTGTCATAGACAAGGTAACCAAGATGCTGCAGAGACTATTGCAAAGCTGCAAGCAGAAATAAGGGAAATGTGTGCAGTCCGAACAGCCACGAAAGAAGTTGAAGTTGACAGTGTTGTTGCTGTTAACAAGAGTGTTAGTGCTAACCTTAAGGATGAAATAACCAGACTTCACTCACAGGGAAGCAACATTGCAAATCTGGAAGAACAACTTGAAAACGTTCAGAAGTCCATAGACAAATTGGTGATGTCTCTTCCAAGCAATACTCAGCAATCTAATGGTGAAGCAGTTCTGATGGCCAATCAGTCAAAAAAGAAGAAGCTACTTCCATTAGCTTCAAGCAATGGTGCGAACCTGCAAAACTTCATAAAATCTCCTTGCTCACCTCTGTCATCTTCTCGGCAAGTATTGGAGTCCGAGACTGAAAACAGAGATCCAGAATATGATGATGCTGTATCAATAGAAAGTCTGCCAGTATCTGATAAAGAGACTCCTAAAAAAAGCGAAGAAGGGGGAGATGTCACATCAAAGGAAGGTACTCCTTATCGACGTTCAAGTTCTGTCAACATGAGGAAAATGCAGAAGATGTTTCAGAATGCAGCAGAAGAAAACGTAAGAAGCATACGAACGTATGTAACAGAGCTTAAAGAACGTGTTGCGAAGCTGCAATACCAGAAGCAGCTACTTGTTTGCCAGGTAAAATTGTTTTCTCGACACAAATACCGAGTTAATTTGTTCAGGAGATCAGATTTATGTCCACTTCAATGTTTTTGGGTTTTCTGTTTCAAATACATGTTTACATTCTCTTGGAATTTTTACTTCATTTTCATCTTGTATATTCTTTAGGTGCTTGAACTGGAAGCAAATGAAGCAGCTGGATACAATTTAGAAAATGATGACAACATTCCTGAGATACAAGAGAAGTCCCCCGTTTCATGGCATCTAATTTTTAGGGAGCAAAGGCAGCAGATCATTGAGTTGTGGGATGTATGCTANAATGAAGCAGCTGGATACAATTTAGAAAATGATGACAACATTCCTGAGATACAAGAGGAGTCCCCCGTTTCATGGCATCTAATTTTTAGGGAGCAAAGGCAGCAGATCATTGAGTTGTGGGATGTATGCTTTGTCTCCATCATACATAGGACACAGTTCTATCTGTTATTTAAGGGAGATCCGGCTGACCAAATATATATGGAAGTGGAACTTAGGCGCTTGACTTGGCTGCAGCAGCACTTAGCAGAACTTGGCAATGCTAGCCCAGCTCATGTCGGAGATGAGCCTACTATCTCTTTGTCATCAAGGTTTCCTCTCTTTCTCTCTGGGCTTCCTTTTGAGATTTATCATATATCCAACTGTTATTTCAATCATATGCCTTTCTGTGTTATTCAGTATTAGAGCTTTGAAGCGCGAAAGGGAGTTCCTTGCAAAGAGGTTAACTTCTCGTTTGACTGTCGAGGAGAGGGATGCATTGTACATAAAATGGGATGTTCCGCTAGAGGGAAAGCAAAGGAAGATGCAGTTCATAAACAAGCTCTGGACGAATCCCCATTGTGCCAAGCATGTACAGGAGAGTGCTGAGATAGTGGCAAAGCTAGTAGGGTTTTGTGAAGGTGGAAATTTGTCAAAGGAGATGTTTGAGCTTAATTTTGTGCTTCCTTCTGACAAGAGGCCCTGGATTATGGGATGGAACCCAATTTCAAACCTACTTCATTTGTGAGCAACTACAATTCTTTTTGTAAGTAAATCCCAATATGATGTTATTTACATGTAAATTAAATTTCAAACGTTCTTTGACTGCCCCAATTTTGGAGTCTCCCTCCAACTTCTTTTGGTTATTTCATTGTGGTGCCGACTGGTTGAGCACACTTTCATTTTCTTAATAAAAGAAACTAATTTATATGGTTCGTCTGAACTATCAATTTGATGTTTGATGTGTGTGTTTACTTGAATCGGATATCTGTATATTCAATAGGAAGGAAATTATAATTACATAAAAGTAAGTGTGATTATGAAATGAATGTATGTTAAGTACATTTGTAGAAGCAAATATAAAAAGTGAATTATGCAGCTGCAAGTGCCAGAACTACGCCAAAGAACTTTATCATATTGCCTTGTGATTCTCGAAATAGCAGTTTTTTTTATCGGAATTGTTTGGGCTTCTTAAATCTCATTTTAAGAAATTTTATTTTGGGGCAGCTGTTGGATCTTAGAAGAATGTAAATGGTTGTTTCATTTGTTTTTGTTGGTTTTTTTTTTTTTTTTTCAAATTTATTTACTTTAAGGTATTTCTCTCAAGTTGATTTCAAATCTTCTGAATTTTACGAGGGACATCTGAAAAAATTCAAAAAATTCAAAAAAGATTAGCATGGCCCTTGCGAATGACATGCGTATAATTCATTAAACAAAAGAATTCTTATTCAACATATCATATGAAAAAAAAAAAATGGTCCATTTTGTATTTGATTACAAATGGAGATATGGTCCAAAATTTTAAATTTTGATGTCATCCATTCTTTTGGCAAATTTAATTAATGAGTCCTTGGCTCTGCGACATATTTTGTATTCTCTATGCATCATATTTCCCTTCTTTTTGCAAAACCTGCTGTTACAGTAACTATCACTTTATATTGGCTTGGTAAATCGTTGTATGGAATTTTTTTACCAATCTATAGTGGTTAACTTTATTTTTTCATTACCGCACCTTTGTAACCTACTTCCTAATCACAAAACTATAGATTAAACCCACGCTTTTCTATATATGTGTGTAAATAAATTAGAAACTGCAGTATTAAGGTAAAAAACATATTAAAAATCATGATAGGATGGCGATTGATTCTCCTTATATACCTTTGCATGGACAAACTATCAGGACTGTTACAAACTTATTCTTGATAAGGTGCTACATTCTGAGAGTGATAAAGTAATTGGATAATTTATTATGGCAGTCAATCAGGGCTACTTTGACATACACAAGTAGGTGTTTCGTCACTTAAACCTGTTTTAGGACTGATCCGTTTCTTCATTTTCATATTCTCCAAAAAAGGTGAGAAAACATTATCAATTTGTGCTCAAAACCAAAAAATCCTCGGCATTTCAACTAATCATATAAGCAAGCAAGCAAGCGCACACANTCTTCATTTTCATATTCTCCAAAAAAGGTGAGAAAACATTATCAATTTGTGCTCAAACCAAAAAATCCTCGGCATTTCAACTAATCATATAAGCAAGCAAGCAAGCGCGCGCACACACAGAGTTATATGCCATAGACCACACCAGAAATAGAAATTTCACTTTTCCTCACTGTCACTACAATGTAGCAAGAGCAGGGAGGTAAAGGGAGTGACATTATTTTCATAATAACTAGTGCCCACAAACTAATCTCCAAAGAGATCACAGATTAGGATAAACATAGAATAATTAAGTAGACTCTCTCTCTCTCTCTACGTAGCAAGAAGCACAAGGATAAGAGAGACAGAGTCCCTGTAGGTAGAGGTCAAGGCCCTCAACACTTGGGGACGGGAACCCCACAAGCGGCAGCAACCTTCCTGGCTTTAGCAGGATCTATATACTTCTTAAGATTTGGGTTCTTGAGGTACTGGCAAAGGCAGGGCTGTTGTTCCTTAAGTTTGCTGCAGCACAATTTAGTTGGTGGTGATGATGAAGTTATTGCACTCCTGCAAGGGCTCAGCTGAGTTGGTGTGCATGTCACAGCCATTGAGACTTGTGTTTCAGCCAAGAGCAGCACCAGAATGGCACAGACTGCAATGTGTGATGCCTTCATTTTCTCTCGCTTTAATATGGCCCAAAAACCTGTGGGATAGGTGAAGAAAGAGAGAGATGGGACGAGTTGCATTTGGCTTAGAGCTCACCTCAATTTATAGAGGAGAGATTGGTGAGAAATGCCCAAAAGTCTTGGTAGAAAGTGCAAAAAAATTGACATTGTTAACTTTAGAGATAATGGCTACGGTGGTGCGGAGGTATGGTGCCAAAATTGAGCATTAAATAACACCGCAAATGCAGATATTTCTTCCATAAATGAAATAACAGGTGCAACTTTTAATTTAAGTAACTTATAGGGTTTTCTTTTCAAAATATTACATTAGGTGACGCTTTTTTTTTGGACAGGACAAAGGTCACTCGATTGATGACCACACGATCTTCAAATTTTCTCCGCTTACCTAAATTCTCATCCATTCTACTAAATGTTACTGCACCAGAGGGAGATAATGGAGGAAGTTGTTGGAGCAGAAATTCTGTAATGAAGAAGATGATAATAATATGCTTTAAGTCGTGTTACCCAATTGTTTTTCTTTAGACAATTTTTGCTCCTACTAATTCCGATAAAAAATATACACCAGGTTACAAACAAGTTTATATCCAAGATACAATAAAGTTCAGGATCGAATCCGATATTTAACTACGTAATGCACAAACGAAGTCAACTCCGATTACTTTCAGATTTCTCTAGTTTTACAAATACACTGAAATTCTGTTTGTACAAAAAAAAAAAAAGATTCCAACGAGTAAGAATAAAAATTAGAAAGAGTTGAGGCCTTGGGGAGAGAGTTATTCCAATAAATTGAAAAGTAGTTNGACCACACCAGAAATAGAAATTTCACTTTTCCTCACTGTCACTACAATGTAGCAAGAGCAGGGAGGTAAAGGGAGTGACATTATTTTCATAATAACTAGTGCCCACAAACTAATCTCCAAAGAGATCACAGATTAGGATAAACATAGAATAATTAAGTAGACTNGAGTTATATGCCATAGACCACACCAGAAATAGAAATTTCACTTTTCCTCACTGTCACTACAATGTAGCAAGAACAGGGAGGTAAAGGGAGTGACATTATTTTCATCATAACTAGTGCCCACAAACTGATCTCCAAAGAGATCACAGATTAGGATAAACATAGAATAATTAAGTAGACTCTCTCTCTCTCTCTACGTAGCAAGAAGCACAAGGATAAGAGAGACAGAGTCCCTGTAGGTAGAGGTCAAGGCCCTCAACACTTGGGGACGGGAACCCCACAAGCGGCAGCAACCTTCCTGGCTTTAGCAGGATCTATATACTTCTTAAGATTTGGGTTCTTGAGGTACTGGCAAAGGCAGGGCTGTTGTTCCTTAAGTTTGCTGCAGCACAATTTAGTTGGTGGTGATGATGAAGTTATTGCACTCCTGCAAGGGTTCAGCTCAGTTGGTGTGCATGTCACAGCCATTGAGACTTGTGTTTCAGCCAAGAGCAGCACCAGAATGGCACAGACTGCAATGTGTGATGCCTTCATTTTCTCTCGCTTTAATATGGCCCAAAAACCTGTGGGATAGGTGAAGAAAGAGAGAGATGGGACGAGTTGCATTTGGCATAGAGCTCACCTCAATTTATAGAGGAGAGATTGGTGAGAAATGCCCAAAAGTCTTGGTAGAAAGTGCAAAAAAATTGACATTGTTAACTTTAGAGATAATGGCTACGGTGGTGCGGAGGTATGGTGCCAAAATTGAGCATTAAATAACACCGCAAATGCAGATATTTCTTCCATAAATGAAATAACAGGTGCAACTTTTAATTTAAGTAACTTATAGGGTTTTCTTTTCAAAATATTACATTAGGTGACGCTTTTTTTTTGGACAGGACAAAGGTCACTCGATTGATGACCACACGATCTTCAAATTTTCTCCGCTTACCTAAATTCTCATCCATTCTACTAAATGTTACTGCACCAGAGGGAGATAATGGAGGAAGTTGTTGGAGCAGAAATTCTGTAATGAAGAAGATGATAATAATATGCTTTAAGTCGTGTTACCCAATTGTTTTTCTTTAGACAATTTTTGCTCCTACTAATTCCGATAAAAAATATACACCAGGTTACAAACAAGTTTATATCCAAGATACAATAAAGTTCAGGATCGAATCCGATATTTAACTACGTAATGCACAAACGAAGTCAACTCCGATTACTTTCAGATTTCTCTAGTTTTACAAATACACTGAAATTCTGTTTGTACAAAAAAAAAAAAAGATTCCAACGAGTAAGAATAAAAATTAGAAAGAGTTGAGGCCTTGGGGAGAGAGTTATTCCAATAAATTGAAAAGTAGTCTGGAATAACATAATTCTGGCCGATTTATAGGCCCTTTAGTGTCTATTTAGATACTCAATGAACAGGTACAATGATTATTCAAGGGCAAAAGGATATATCTGTTGATTAACAGACATTTAAATATTTAAATTATAACTATTCGACCACATTTCTTACCGATCTAAGGCCCAGATCTAGCCATCACGGTACGTAATATGATTATGGATCACAATCATATGATCAGAAATGAAATTCACTATCCGATCATATGTATATATAAAATCAACGGTCCAATCGAAAATAATCAAAAAATAAAGTCATGATCAAAAACACCTTTAGCGCCCTACGGCTCATGCCGCGTGCGTGGATGGTGCGAGTGTGCACTCTCAAACACACTAGCATTCTTAACACTAAAGTAATACCATGTGATAGCTGTCTATTAATAAATAAATTCAATTTTCTCTTCACTTTCTGATGTGAGAGTCCCCTAAACATTTTATACTACATTTCATAAACCCACCAAAATTTGTATACATTAAATATGCAAGATAAATTAAAAATTTACAACATAAGTGAGTGGTAGTGAGCTATATAACTTATCAAAAATGATTCACATCCAATAGTAGAACTAAATCACACCGACATCATTGAGAAATCAACGTCAATCACAATTAGCTTACGAAATATTAATCAAAGTCCCATACTAATAACTCAACTTACACACAAAATTAGGGATTGCGATGCTTTTCATTATGTTTTTAATCAATTTTATTTAATGTGAGTTAACCAAATGAGACCAAATTTAACAGGGCCAGGCCCAATTAATGAGCTATGCCCAAATCAGCTACAAGGCGAATCAAGCCCAATTCATAGATTTGGCCCAGTCTAGAGTTCAAGGAGGCCAGAAGGATTAGAGCACACGAGGAGAGTAATTATCAAAATACTCACACTCAAAGTTCACGACAACCTTTAATTGTACTTATTTTTTGTTGCTCTCGAAAGATCTAGTACTTTTACCCTCACGTCATCGCTTCAATTAACGCTCTGTGCCCATAAATTTTAAGCTTTCTCTACATGAGAGGAGACCTCTCTACACCCCAAACATAGCTTTTCTCTCTCCTAGCTATTCTATCCCTCTCGGGGCTGACCATTGCTCTCTCTCTCTCTCTCTCTCGTTCACCTTACTTAATCAATAAAAAGGTCCCCCGGCCACCGTTGCCCTTTTTTGGGGTGGACTAGGTCACCTAAACAGAACTACTATATATCTGTGTGTTGACCTGATATTTACATTATTGTCATTGATTGCTCTATTAATTATCCATTAATTACACTTTATCACACCATGTGATATGTGTCTATTAATAAATAAATTCAATTTTCTCCTCACTTTCCAATGTGAGATTCCCTTTAACATTTTATACTACCTTCCATAAACCCACCAAAATATATATACATTAAATATGGAAGATATATTAAAATTTTACAACATAAGTGAGTGGTAGTGAGCTATATAAAAATGATTCACATCCAACAGTAGAACTATAGAGTAGTATTGATTAGTAGCACAACCTTTCTGATCTCCATGTATATGCTCTTGATGAGGGTATGATGAGCCTACAGATGGATCAGCGGGATTAGGAGGTATGTTCGGCATCTGAGGCATATGATGTAGAATTCTAGTTTTAGAATAGATGATGAGCCCGAGGCACATGGTGGGGATACAACAATTTGAACTATGGCTTGTAAAGACTTAGTATAGGTCATATGTGAGCTTAAAAGTGTTTTTCTCTTTATTAATGGCTTTGTACTAAAGTACTCTTTATTTTCTTTGTTGAATTTTATCTTTTGTTCTATGTCATGATTATTATAAGTCATCATTAGATTGACATTTATAGCAAATAAGATAAGAATTTGTGGGTAACTTGATTCTATATCTTGCTTGTTGCATGTTGTCATTGAATTGGCATTTGTGACAAAAAGAGGGATAATATTTTAGGTACATATGAGAGGAATCAGGGAGATTTACTATTGACTAGGCCAGATATGTTGCAAGTAAACATAGAAAGTGGGAGTTTGTTCAAATACTTAAGGGGATTAAATTTGCAAACTTGGCATGAAGTCGTCAATTTTAGTCAAAATCAGATTGAAAACATAGTTTGAGTCATAATCGAATTCTCTTTGAGTAAGACTCTTTAGTTCTGAAGAGGATAAGTTTTTGCATGGTTTTATGCTTAAAACCATGTAAGGACCAATCTATTCTCTCTAGTCTTCTCTAAAGCGGTCTTTTTATTACTTAGAAAATGAAATGGGAAAAGGCCACAGAAGGTAGCACGGGGCTTGCTCTATGGGCTTACTCGAGTGGTCCTTCATGGTTGCTCAAACTCATGGTTGCTCGAGCGGTGCTTGCCTAAGTTGGGTTTGAAACGTGTTTTTCATTCTAGCGACAACCACCCTATGAACGCCCTCCCACTGATCGAGCAGTCATTCGCAAATATGATTTTTCTTATTTATTAAGACTACCCTTATTCTGGACCTATAAATAGGGAGATAATTTCCCACACCTAGGTTAAGCCTCTTGTCAAATTTCTAAGATAGAAAGTGTGAAACCCAGGAAAAGTTTTAACTTTTTCTAAAAAAAAGGACAAAATGGTAATTTATCATTATAGCACGGGTTAAAAAGTGATATTTTTTTAGATGATAAAACGGACCTTACCGTTGGATTCGTCTCACGAAATCTAGTTACCCAGACAAATTTCGTCGAATTTCGAGATAGTTAGGTTTTTCACATTTTTTGAGGTGACGGGTGTCCAGTGACCCCCAAAAACAAAATTTTTATAAAAAAATTTGAAATTTAGAAAATATTTTAAATAAAGTTCATATAAAATATTTTGAGGTTAAACCGGTACGAAATTTAATCATTTCAAAGTGAAAAAAGACCCAAAAAAGGAGGACACTTGGCGCGACGAGGACCAAGTCTTTAAAAAGTATAAAACTGGACAAATATCTGAAAAATTAGATGTTTTCTCTTCATTTGGCCAGCTGGATCATACCCAAGAGCAAAGAGGAAAAAAATAAATTCTTTAAGCTTTCTTCCGCTGATTCTCGGAGTTTCGTCG